CAGGGAGTAGCACTGGCTTGATTGAGAAAATGTGAGTCAAAGAAGGAAAAAGCTGCAACATGGAAAGAGATGGGCTAGAAATAGTAGGAGAGGGGTTGTATGTTTCTAAGCTTTAGGAGAGGTGATACACAATCAGTTTCGCTTTAGTTTATAAGAAAATCATATGCAGGTGACCTTTGCCCATCAATACCATTTTATAGTTCAGTGAGTTCAGTGCTTGGTTTTGAAGTTTTGAAATGGCTCACACACTGTGATGATCATTGTAATTTGGGTTCGTGGACATTTTTGTGTAATTATTAACTTCTTTTTAATGTAGAAATTAACTCACAAAAAAGATTACTAAAATGCCCCAAACCATTAATTATGATGTGGAAATAGGACTTAAATTCTGATCTCTATTCTCTTCTTGCTGAAATAGCAACAAAACTGACAAAAGACTTTGTTAAAAGTGAAATGAGGCTATGGTTTGGGCTTTTAAAATTCGTATCATGCTCGATATTATGTAAAGCTCTATACCCTTAAGTAGAAAAACATGCAATGAGTATGAAAAGCAGATTTAAAGGTTAATTTTTTGGTGCCTAGTGGCTAAAATTGTTTAGAAATTCTATGTTGATGTGTGTCAAACCAGCAGTAGAACACTTGACATATATTCTAAATGTCAGATCTTACTTTGAGGTCATAAGCATTTGAAGCTTCATACTTGCCTATTTTACAGATTTTTAAAGCAAACTAGAAGAGGTGTTCCATGATTGAACACACTGACACTGTTATTTAAGGCATATTAATAAAAGTACCAAAGGAGAAATTGCCTTAAGCTCTCTCGGGACTAAGAGGACATAGAGTGAGTGCTAACAGATGACATTTAGATTGAAAAAAAAATTGAAGTTGTACACACACACACAAAGTCATACACTGAAACACATAGTTCCATAACAAATCCACCCTGATTTCTCATCTCGAGTACTTTGTCCTATATACTGATACTTATATTACGGACACATAATTTCCATTATCTAATAAAGAAAATTTAGATGTTACTAAATTAATGAAGGTGTTCCACTGAAGATAGAAATAATGCAAATTAAAAGGGGAATTTTCAATTATGAAAATCCATTTATTTTCAATTATGAAACAAGATGATGTTTTAGGATACGTAAAAGGAAGTTCTGTTTTAAATCAATAGGACTAAATCTAGGTCCCAAGAAATGATACAAGCTAAAATAAACATGTAGTTAATTTAAGACAGGTCTAGACCAATAAAATGATGATGATTCTATATCATGTTACTAAGGAATATATGTTTATCCAAGTGTTGTATACGTTTGGTGGTAGATAATCATATTTATTCACAAAACATTCTTTAATGCTACTGTCAGGGAGAAACTGAGCAGAGTGAATTATTTGTCTTACTGAAAAAGACATTTGTTTACCTTCATAGTAGGACTGAATTTTCTCATTATCAAATGGGAATATTGCTATTAACCATACGGATGTTTTTGGTAGATACTTAAATAAAATAGCTATGTGAAAACGTTTTGTGAACCCTTCGGCTTTCATTTCACTGGTAAATTCCACTCAACAGTTACTGATAACTTCTCTGTGCTGGAAGTAGGAGCACGGTAATGGCCAAGGTGAGTCCCAGCATCTGAGGAGCTTGATTATTTTGGAGGAAAACAGATACAGACAACAAAGCATGCCATCGATTGTTTACAGTTGTGGTGTTGCTAAGAAGGACGAAGTTCTGATCTGGATTAGGCAGGAAATGAAAGTTACTTTGAGAAGGTGACACTTCAGATGAACTCTGAAGGTTGAGTTAGAATTAATTGGACACAGAGGGAACCAGCTCCAAGCAGAGGAAAGACCATGTTCAAATGTTCTGAGATAGGAAAAATTAGCTTGTGTTAGGAGAACAGAAACATCAGTGTGAGGTTTGCTGTTAGAAAATGCAGTGAAGGTGGCATAAAATCAAGCTAGTGAAGTAGATTGGGGTGACTGATTCAGGTCCTTGCCAGATCATCATACTTGAGAGCAATGAGGATCTTCTGAACACCTTCAAGAAGAAATGTGGAATGATCAGTTATGTATTTTAAAGGATTTCCCTGGTTATTCCTTAGAAAGTGAGCTGAGAATGGTAGGAGTGGTTCTGTGAAATCAGTTTACAGGCTACTTCAGTTGCCCAAGTAAGACACGATGGTAGCCAGACCAGGCTGGTGGCGGCACAGACACAGGAAGGCATCCTGCCAGGAGGTCACTGTAATTGTCATTGCTGTCAATGTAAATGCTATTCTGTGTCAAGTATGGTTGGGTGTTCAAAGTGAAACCTTAAGCCTGTGTGTCCACTTGTCTATAAAGATGTGTTTATTGAGGTCAAATGAGCTGAGTGAAGGTCCTTTTTGCTATCAGTTGTTCATAAATGCTTAAGCGGGAGTATAAACAGTGTGGGTAGAAATAAAATTCACATTATTTAATATAAACAACCCCAATATACATGGTATTTAAAAAGTAGGGAAGTTTCATCAGCTACTAGATGATGAATAGTTTTTCCTGGAATTTCTGTAATTTAGTTTTGGTTCTCTGATTTGGGAAGTAGATCTAAGTTCAGAGGCTTTGCTTCTTTTAAATTTTATGTAGAGGAAGTGGCCCTTGAAGTCAGGTAGAAAGTCTTCCTTTTTGAGAATTGTTTGTTCAGTTTAGAACAATGGATAACACTTGAAAAAAACAGTAAACTAACCAAAATCTTGAAAGGAGATGTCCAAAGGACTTTGAAAACCTCCAGTGTATTCTTGGGACCCTAGAAGACCTAGGGCTGTAAAGACTTGAGAGGTCTATAAAACGTCATCTCCAGCTGATCTTGGGGCTCTGTGCAAGACAAAGTTGTAAACTGTGTGACAGAGTGTTAAAAATTTTTACCAAAAAACACAGAGTGCATGGGTGCAAATACCAGGAGATTTATGGGCTTCAGGTGTTTAAAGAAACCTGTCCAATTATCTGACCAGTAAGTTAACTCCGTGGAGATTTCAGTGTCACATTATATTATTTAAAATGTACACTTTTCAAAAAATTGTGAGATATACAAAGAAACAAGAAGGTATGGTCCATACACAGGAAAAAAGGCAACTAATAGAAATTGCCCCTAAGAAATCCCAAACATTGGTGTTACTAGGCAATGACTTGAAAACACTTAAAATCTGTTTAAAGAGCTAAAGAATACTTCTAATGAACTAAAGAAAAATATAATAAATATCTTACCAAATAGGGAATATCAGTAAAGTGATAGAAAGTATAAAAAGTATGCAAATTTAAATTCTGGAGTTGAAAAGTATGAAAACTGAAATGAAAAATTTACAAAAGAGACAAACATCTGATTTGGGCTATTGGAAGAAAGAATCAGTGAACTTGAAGATAAGTCAACTGAGCATGTCCAGTGTGAAGAACAGAAAGAAAACCAATCAAGGAAAGTGAACAGACTCAGAAATCTGTGGAAACCATGAAGAAGACAAACGTGTACCAAATGGGAATCCCAGAAGGAGGAAAATGAAGAGGGTAAAAAGAACATCTGAGGAAATAAGAGCTGAACGTTTCACACATTTGATGAAAATACTTAATCCACACATTCAAGAAATACAGTAAAATCTAAAAAGCATAAGCTCAGAACTCTGTAACTAGACCCGTCATGATCAAACTGTTGAAAGCCAAAGGCAGAGAGTCTTGAAAACAGCAAGGGAGAAGCAGTTCACTGTGTATAAGGGATCCTCAATAAATAAACAGCTGACTTCTCATCAGGGAATAGGGAGGTCAGAAGGCAACGAGATGCTGTATTCACAGAACTGAGGGAAACAAACCACTCTCTCAGCAAAAGTTTGATACGCAGCAGGTCTGTCCTTAAAAATGAGGAAATCAAGATACTCCTAGGATAAAAATAAAACCAAAACTGAGACAAGTGCTGTTAGCAGTCTGCCCTGTGGAAACACTAAAGGAAAGTGTTCAGGCTGACAGGAAAACACACTAGACAGTAACTCAAACCCACATGAAAAAATAAAGAGCACTGGTAAAGGTAACTACATAGGAAAAGTCAACATAGAGGTATTTGTGTTTGTATTTCCTATCTGATTTAAAAAACAACTTCATAAAGTAATTATGATATATCTTTGTTGGTAGTCAAAGAATGTATAAATTTGAAATTGTGCCAGAACAGTATAAAGGAGGGCAGATGGAGCTATATAGGAGCAAAGATTTTATACATTATTGACATTAAGTTGGTAGTAAACTAAACTGCTACAAATAATTGTGGAAGCTCTTCTATTTAAATGAAAGTAGAATAAACACACACAGCAAACATTGGGCAGGAAAAATTGAACTAAGAAAGAGACCTAACCTGATACAGTGCTTTTCAAAGAGCAGTGGCCAGTCTGAGTACCTGAAGTGAAAATCACCACTTCCACTGATGGAGTGCCTTGCCTGCCATCCTTCATCCCACCCTGAGATGCCCTTTCTGTCCTTGCGATTGGCCGTGGATGTTGAATGAGCTGCATCAGTGGGCTGACTATCCATTGCAGTGGGCCCCTTGCAGGCTGAGGGTGGCTACTGGTAGATGTCACTGGGTTACAGGCTGAAGTAAGGAGAAGGCTGAACTCAATGGCTGCAGCTGAGGGCAAAACAGGCAGTGAGTCAGATGGAGGCACAGGAAGACTGATGCCAGATTGAGTCATTGGCTGAAACAAGGATGGTTGCCAAAAAAGGTAGTGTCCCAAACTTACGCTGAGGCTCGCCCATTGAAATTTAGGCAGCAGCTGAGGAAAGAATGACCCAAAGTGGGGTTGTCCATCTGACAAGAGAACTGACCGAGGTGGATGCTGTATTTAAAAGCAAAACAGAATCTTGGGCAGAGCCTGAGGCTGTGGGTGAGGCAGAGGCAGAGGCTGAGTCCATGCCCGAACTGCCATATTGAGACTAAAGCCAAGGCAGAGGCCGAGAAATGGGTCAGCAGTGGTGGTTCCAGGATGGAGCTGGCATTAGAATTGCCCTTGAGTCAAAGTCAGATTTCTGGCCAGAGCTGATACTAGCCCAGTACAGAGGTGATGGTTACACAGCACCATGAATATGCTAAATGACACTTAACTGTACACTTAAAATGATTAATTTTATGTCATGTTTTACCTAAATTAAAAAAAAATGTATATGCAGCAGTATCTATCCTTGAGGAGCTAATAACCTAGATGGAAAGAGAATTACTCAAAGGATTAAACAAAATTTAAGCTTAAGAAAGATAATCAAATCCAGAAAAAATAACAGGCAAAATGAAGAGCAGATGTTGTAGCTAAGCTGTGTAAAAAAAATTGTAAATTTAACAATATGTGTTTTTTTGGATCAATTATGTGCAGCATAATTAAATTTGTAGTTTGTGTGTGCGCACATGCACACTTGACAGGAAAAAAAATCTACTCCAAATTAGAACAAATTAGTCCCAAATTGCTCTAACCATTTTCTAGATTGAGAATCTGATGGGTTGAGTTTCAGACTAAATTTCCTTTCAAGACAGCCTTGTTACTGTAGTTGAAATCAGACAGCAGAAGAAGACCAGAAAGAGGTTTGGCTCTAGTCCTAGAACCAAATTTGGTCCCATGTGATGGTAACAGTGACTGGTTCAGTCGTTCCGACTAAGGATCCTCTCATAGCACCACTGTGGGTACCTCTGCTACATCCACATTTGCTTAAGGTCTCAGTTTTCAGATGAGAATTATTTTAATTTTGTTAGCAGTAATCCCTACCATCGTAGTTAGGCTAAGAACTGTAAAGGACTTTTAGTAATGACAGTAAAATTAGACTACCCATCAGTCAGGTGAAAGTACACTCTCTTTTATGCTTCAGATGCAGGTATAGCACTGGCTACATCAAGCTGGTTAAACTGCCAAAATATTAGTGATTATTGATAAAAAAAGAAAAACAGCAGACATGGTGGTTATTTACAAATATACCACTACTTAGTCACATGAAGTGAAAAAAAAAACTTAAGCATTTTGAAAGTGTTTTGAAATTTGCTGAAATATCTAATCATAACAAAAGGACTACTCAGTAAAATAAACACCACCCTTTAACCAGAAAGACAAAATACTTACTGCTTTGCTCTATGAGGCACCATAAATCAGTTTCCAAAGGAGACCAGCGATATTCTCTAAGCATCAGTTCAGTTAAAGTTCACTTTCCCCGTCTCCTAATCCCCTACCGGCCCATGAATGTAAAGTGTATACTGAGAAATACATGATGTTGGCAGCTTAGGGTAATGATAACAAAGTGAGGAAAAAAAGTCCTTCATTTATGACCAAATCTGGTTGTCCATTTTCTCCCGGTATGCATCAGGAATAATTTTAGTTTTACAGACTGGAAGCGACACCATTTATAAATAGAAGCATTAATACAAATGTTCCCCATAATGTTCTCTGGGTTAAAAGTGGACTGTTTCACAGATCCTGCATATTAAAACTTGAAGTAAAAATGCATATTAGTTTTTAATCTTAAAGTCAGGAATGACATTTTTCTTTGGCATCTTATTTTTGGTAGTGAGCATAAACATCAATAAATTTTTCTCTTATTATACTGACATGTTTAATCTTTCAAGATTAGATTTTTGTACACTGCTGATAAAGTTGTCATTCGAACTGGCAAAGGAAAAACAACAGAGAAACCATGAAAACTACATGAACATACCATAGCAAAATACGATTTTGAAAAGACACCAGGCAAGCCAAGACAAAAGAATGGTCAACTCTGGATGGTATTGGACACACCCCTGAAACAAAACCAGGTCAAAATAAAGAAACAAACAAAAAGGAACTCTCTTGGGCTGACTTTATGTTATTAAAGTTAATAGGAACATGAATCAAATAAAACAGAAACCTTCAGAGTGTGCATACCTGTGTGTGTGCCCACAGAATAAGATAAAAATGGAAATGAAAGAGCTAAGGAAACAATGATTCAAAAAATATATTCAGGACTAACTAAAAACTTAAGAAATCAAGGATCAGAATAGAAACAGTTGAACACTAACTTAATAACAAAGGAGAGTTTGGAGATAATTGCACTGAATTCAGAGACAGGAAAAGATAAAGATGCTGACATTAGATACAGAGATGAGACAACATTATGGGGATAAAAACAAATTATTATACATTTTTAATGTCCTTGAAATTAAAAAGAAAACACTATAAAAATAGTAGGACAAAAGGTATTTAAATATATATTAGAAAAAAACAATTTTAATGAAGAACTTGGTTTACATTTATAAAAGGCATCCTACACTCCAGGAAAAAAACCCAACACTCAAAACTTGTTGCAAATATATTATTTTTCTCAAAATTACAAAGTTCTAGTGTCCTATATTTATTTGTGATAAGCTCGTAAAAACCAGTTGGAAAAGAAATATATAATTATTAGAAAAATGAGCAAAGAATGGAAAATAATTTTGAGAAAAGGAAAAAATGGCCAAAAATAAATAAAAAGATATGAGAACATGAACCTTTCTGGTAATTAAAAGAAGATTATTTCAAGCACTGAAATACTATTTTTAAAAATATTATCAGATTGTCAAAACTGTATAAAGTTTGCAAATACCTAGTTCTAGCAGAGTTTAGGAAAACACTCACCATCATAAACTGTTGTTGGAGGAATAAGTTTAAGTAGCTATTTGAGTGTAGAGTTTGAGTGTAGAGCTGTCAGACCTGATTGAGCTGTTGAGGGAGACCGATTAGAGGAATCTATTATGTAGAAAGAGAAAAAGGTGTGAAGTTAGCTAGGATGATAAATTAAAGTAATGAATCTGGGAAACTATGCACTTGGGACAGACCCTAGGAGATGAAAAAACAATAGAAACAAAAATCGAAAAGAAAACAAAACAATGGGCTATTTGCCTAATTTTCACCACTAGAGTGACAGTAGCTGAGTCTATATATGGAAGAAAACGGTCAGATGAAAGAGCTCAGCCAAAGTTTCATCGTGCGTATTGCAAACATAGGTCTTATCACCTGGACTGACTTTATGATAACAGCATCGGAGGAAAACAAACAAACATGAAAATAAGTTCTCCAATAATTAAGGGTAGACCATCTCAGTTAGCTCTGTCCTGCGGTAAGCTTGGAGGGCTGATGTTGGGGGCAGGGAGGATTTGGAAAGGATTTCTTTTTTTTCAATTAATTAATTTTTAATTTAAAGGAGGTACTGAGGATTGAACCCAGGGTGTCGTGCATGCTAAGCATGTGCTCTGCCACTGAGCTATTTCCCTCCCTGCCCAAATAAATGTGTGTTTTTTGTTTTGCTTTTTAAGAAAGGATTTCTAAATGACACTAAAAATGAGATCAAGAAAGAGTTTGACTTCACTCAAATTAACCTTTCTATGGTTAAAATGTTTCCTGGTAGACTGGCCCAGTCTCCCTTGGCTTGTGATGACCATTTTGTACAAGTAGAAATGATGTACACATATTAGTATCCACATACGGGTTACTCTATAATTATCTGTATCACCTACAGGGTGCACCCTTTTGGAAAATTGAAAGATGAAGTGCTTTTTCAGTTCTTGAAGTCCAATCCTCATGTTAATTTTAAACACGCCAATTAAATGATATTTAAGAATTTTAGAGAAGACACAAAGATTCTCTTGGCTAAACTCTCAAAAGTTCTTTAACTGTGCTTTTGATTTGAGGTCATTCTTTTTTTAAATTTCCTCCTGCAAACTATGTATTTTCCAAATTCAAAGATCTATTTAATAAGGGAATTCAAATTGTAATGACAGTTTAAATCCTTGAGCCTTCTTTTAATTTTCATCATTATTTTTTAAAGTCAAATTAAGTTATTAGAAACAAATTTACTCTCTGTATGTTTTCCATATTCTTAGAGAAACCACAAAGACAACCAAAATCAATGTGTTACATGTGTTACCCTCTGAGACCATAAATAAATCTGACTTTGAATATCAGTTTGAATACACTTAACACTTACAAATGGTTAAGATGGTAAAACATATTATATACCAGTAATATAAAATTGACAGAGACAATATAACTGCAATTTTTCAGACATGACAGCATTAATCATGGTCTTCTCTTGACCATCACAAAATAGAGCAGACACGTCAAACAACATTAACTGGAACATGTTTGAACTGTTGACTTATTTGATTTTGAAGGTAAATACAAGATCTGAATAATCACTCCTGAAAATATACCAGATTGATTTCTCCGACGTCTTAGCCTTTTGAGTTTGGTTTGCTCACATTTTAGGGTAATTT